AAACTCGGGTAACGGTCCTGTACCTTCGGTTGTAAACACTGATTGGAAGAACTTGTTCAGGGTATCAGCTGCCTGTTGGTCATCTTCGGTTATTTTTCCTTCATCAGTCTCTAAACCTTTTACTTCTGGTTTCACCTTGAGTTGATTTCGAATGTATGTATGGATTCGTTTCGGTTCTTTCTTGCCAAGTACTGCCAACTTATTTTCATACTGCTGTCTGGCGTTCTTGATGCTTTGCGCAGTCTTGTTTCTTTGCATGGCATAGATATGATAGGTCTCCTCTGTTCTGGACTGCTGGTAGGCCTTCCAAAGAGCATGTTTGAGTTTGACCTCTTTTAACAGTTTCTTTGTCCACCAGGGTGCTAGCTTGTGATTGCCATTGCGTCTCTTCCAAATGGGTACATGTTCATGAATAGCTTTCATCAAGACATTGTAAAAACCAGGGCCTCCTCTAACATACCCACTGGGTGGGCAAATGCCTACCCAGTCACCACAATTGCCCACCCAGTGGCGTCGATTTGCCCACCCAGAAGCAAATGCAAAAATAAAGGTCCGGCCAGACGTCCGGTAGGAACTACCACTTCGGTTTCCCGGGGAAAAAGACTTGCTAGCAGCCAGTGCCCCAGCCCCCAATCACTGCAGTGCAAGTTATTTTTTTTTTACAATGGATGCATCTGAATGCAGGGGCGGTAGCAGACTTGGCGTTTGGGGTGGGGGCAGCTTGGCAACTTTGCCAACCCTCGGAGGGGGGGGGGGGGCGGTGCTAGCTTACAGGGGCCCATGGCCATAGCGGCCTCAAAGGCCCGTATGGAACCCCAGAGGCCGATGTGGGCTCTCAGAGGCCAGTGCGTGACGCCTAAAGGTGTAAGCCATGGGTCCCCAACCACACAACAAAATAGGGCCATCAGAGACCTTATAGGCTGATTAGGGACTAAATAGGGCCTCAATTTGGAGCCATCAGAGGCAAATGTGGGCCTCAGATATCAGTGTGAGGCCCTTATAAGACTGACATTGGTCCTCAGAGACCGGCATCGATCCTTCAGAAGCCAGTACGGGGCCCTCAGAGGCACAAAAGGGTCAGTCTTGGATCTCAGAGGCAGAAAATGGGCCATCAGCAACCGGTGCGGGACCTTTAGAGGTCGGTTTGTGCCCTCAGAGGCCAGTTTAAGGCCCTCAGCGACCAGTACAGGGCCTGAAAATGGCAGTTTGAGGCCATCAGAGGCCGACTTAGGCTCTCAAAGGCTAATGCGGGTCCTTGAGGCAAGGATGGGACCCTCAGGGGTCAGTGTGGCACCCTAAAAGACAGGCTTGGGCTGGTGTTGGACCCCAGAGTCCAGAAAAGGCCAAGTTGAGCCCTCAGAGCCGATGCAGGTCCTTAACCCGGCAGTTGCTGGGGTATTTCGCCACCCACCGTTTGCTGGGGGGGGGGGGGGGCGTTAAACGCCCCCAGCCGATAACTCGAGAACCAATAGGCGCAGCGAAACGCACGAGGCGGCAAACGAAAGAACGCGACGAGACGCTTCAGATGAGTACTTTAAAGTTGAATTTTGAGGTCACAGGTCGGGTCAAGGTCAGGTCAAACACCTGAAATCGGACTTTCAGTAGCATGGACTTCAGGACTTTACAATGGGCGCCTCCCGTCATAAACTCTGTCAAAACGGTGCACAATCCATCATATAAGGCCTACAAGAGTGTCAGCTCCATGTAGGGGTCAGTCAAGCATAGGTCAGGGTCAAGGTCAGGTCAATATCCTCACATATCCTCACACATATCCTCGAAAATCAAAACTGATATTCGCAGCCTGTGACACATGTTTTATGGGTAATTTGGGGCGTAGAACACGATGGTGACATTCAATTTATCATATGTGTACGTGTTTGGGTCAAAAAGTTCAAATTAAGAAATACATGTATCATGGTCGTGAAGTAGTCATGAGAAATTGCCAAGATTCAGTTCAAGATTTTGGAAAATGGGGAACGATAATCAATAATCGAAGATTACCATTAAATTGTTCATGGTATTGGCAGTCTAATGCCGTTTACGGCATGTCTGTATGTCTATTCTGTGATTTTATATGATTTTTTGAACATATAACGTTTTTGGTCGAAAACCAAGAAATCATGACGTCACTGAAACCTCGATATCTCAAAAATTTTTCCGCCGATATTTTTGAAATATTGTCACAATAAACGTCAAACAATTCCCTAGAGGCACCCAAAATTTGGCGTGCCTGCGGCGCGCCGTTTTTTTTTTTTTTTTTGCTATGGCCCAGCGAAAAAAGTGGGGGCGTTTAACGCCCCCCAGCAACTCGGGGGGTAACCCTCGCCCGTATAGGGGGGAGTCGATCGGACCCCCCTCGATTTTTTGCGAATAACTCGCGACCTGTGACCTCTTTTCCGTGACCATGTTTGGCCGAAATCGCGATTCGGCGTATGTCGGCTCGCATTAGCCGCGCGTTTGCAAGCTTTTCGTGATTTCAAACGTTCAAACATGTGATTTGATGTTGCTCCCATACATAAGGGTGGGTGTCAAGGTCACCTAAAGGTCAGGTCACGTCATTGACCTTTGGTGACCTCGGGTGACCTCGGTTCACTTTTTCGAGTTTTTTCATGTTCTAGGCTAGTTTTTTAGCTGAATTCGAATTTAGCAACCATTTGAACATTTACGATGTAGTTTTGGTGCCTTCGGAACATGTTACGAAGCTGTCAGAGGCGGTTGACACGTAATACGAATACCCGTCACAACCCCTACCGGTTGACCTGACCTGACCTGACCCGACCTGGTCTAAATGGCATGCTTAAAACATCATCTCTGATCAAAACTAACACGATATTCGTGATCAGCACCCCGGAAAACCACATAGCAGCCACACTTTACGACTTTCTAACAAGTCCCGATTTTCCCGGTGTTCGGGTCATTGACCTGACCTGGAAGGTCACCCGATGACCTAGGACCTTAAAATTGGGTATCATCGGCTTCCTCTCGTAACGGGCAACACGCTCGTTTTTTCCGTGAAGCTTTAGCTTGATCAGGGGCCAAACGCGAGGGGGGGGGGGGTCGTGCCGCCGAAGGACGCAATGGCCTGTGCCGGCGAGGGTTAAAATTGGGTATCATCGGCTTCCTCTCGTCACGGGCAACACGCTTTTTTTTTCCGCGAAGCTCTAGCTCGATCAGGGGCGAAACGGCAAGGGAGGTCCAACGCCCCCCCCCCCCCTATAAGAGTACCTACGTTCGCGGCTGGAAAAACACCAATACAGGGGATGGCTGAAGCCCGGCATCGGGTCTTCAGAATCCAGTGCGGGGCCCTCAGAGGCTAAAATGGGCCTTTACAGGCCAGCATGGGGCCTCAGAGGTCAGTGTGGGACCCTCAAAGACCGGCATGGGCCAGCAGGGTAGCGCGCTACAAGGCCAAGGATGTATTACAAGTAGATTAAGGTCAATAAAAGCCGTATTTAGATCAAGAGGACGCGCCAAGAGTAAGCTGACCATGCCTCCTAAAAAGAGGCAGCGAGCCTCACCTACCTATTCGATTTCTGGTTCAAGGAGCGGAGCAATCATAGTAAGTTTAACTCTGCACTTTTGCAGTGTTCTTAAAATTTTAAATGTATGTAGACTAGAGATGTCAATCGGATACCAACTTTTTGGTGTACCGATACCAAACTGATACCAACTTGGTATTTGGTATTTTGATCCTAATGTTGTTGGTATTTTGTTGGTATTACGAATCCGGCTAATGTATAAGAGGATACGAATTCGGTAAAAAGTTGGTATTTCCCTCATGTTCCCAAGTTGGTTTGATTTCGGTATTTTTCATGGTTTTGGTTGGCATTTGGTTTGGTATCGGTATCCTGATTTTCCGTTATTGATATCACTAATGTAAACAATAGGCATACCTATAAGGTGAAATACACACGAAATACCATATCACACACGACAAACGTTAAACTATAAATGGCACAGTTGGTTGACTGTGAAAGTGACATAGGCTTAACCCCCCCCCCCCCAGTCGCAGGTGAAAATGGTTGCACCCCAAAACAAGTGACTGGATCTGCCCTTGGGCAGGGGAGCGGCGAAAAATTTTGCCCACCCAGTGAAAAATCCTTAGAGGAGGCCCTGGTAAAAACCACTCCACATGGCTTCCATGTCCATCTCTCCATATGCATTCCAGTTAACATTTTCCAGACTGTCTTTGATTCGATCGTATCTCCCTTTTTTAAAATTGTACCTGGCTATGTCTATCTTGTTGGTTCCAGAGACATCAAGCATTGGTCTAAATTGGTAACACCAGGTCAGGACCAGGTGGTCACTTTTGCCTAATGGCACCCTAGTTTCCACCTGATCTATACTGTATTCTTGATTGGTGAAGATAAGGTCCAGTTGTGACGGATTGCACCCTATCCTGAACCGTGTATCAAACTCGACACACTGAATCCAGTATAGGTCTTGGACTATCTCAAAAAAGGACACCTGACCGGAACCAGTCGGACCAGACACTCTTCCCCTCTTCCAGTCAATCTGGGGATAATTGAAGTCTCCCATCACCTGAATGTGCTTCACGTGGCTCGCTTGTGCCATCTTGAACAACTTGTTCAATTCAAGGTCATTGTCAGCTGTACTCGTTGGAGATCTATAACATACTCCTATTAAAATTGATTCAACATGTGATAATTTAATCACACACCATACTGATTCATCAAATGCTGAATCATTCAATACAGGACATTCCATTACCTGTAGATTGTCCTTGACGAACAACAACACGCCTCCACCTTTTTTGCCTTCAATCCTGTCATACCTCGCAGCAGGATGATATCCTTGTAACACAAACTGCTCCTTCATCCAAACCTCTGTGACACCTATAACATCTGGCCTCTCAGCATCAATACATGAACGAAACTCATCCAACTTGTTGCTTAGATTATTGGCATTTGTGTACCAGCATTTCAGTTTTCCTTTACATGACACTTCATCATCTAGGTTGATGGCATGATTGGATCTACCTCCACCTGGGGATGACCTTCCCCCGAAAGATAACATGACCCTCTCTTCCTTTCTCTTCCAACTCGTTCCTGAGCTTCTTTTGCTCTTCTCTTTCTTCTGGTGTCAAATCATGAGTCAAATAGACATTGGGGAATCCTCGTTCTTTCAGCTTTGTTCTTTGCTTGATAAGCATGTTGACTTGCTCTTTGTCTTTGACTGTGATTAACATCAACCTTGGTTTAGTCCTGCCATTTGACGATGATCCTTCTTGTTTCTTCCCCAGTCGTATCACATTTTCAATATCCACAGCCTCTTCACCAACCAGAGCCTTTACCACCTTTTTGAACACGTCCTTATCATGTTCGGCTCTGTCATGTGGATTGTCCGCCACACTCTCGTCGATGTTGTGCATCGACTCTAAATTGTAAAACTTTAGCTGTTGTGTAAAATAATTTAATCAGAATGGCACATGAATATGCATTATACAACAGTGTTTTCGCAACAAGTTCGACTAACTCAGTTGGGCAAACTAGGCGGCGGGAATCAAAATATGGAGGCATCAAAATATTGATTCTAGTGGGCGGAGCTTTGACCATATTTGGGCATACGTGCAGACCATCACAGAAACGTCAATTCTTCAGCAACCGGCTATAATTTCAAGATAGTTTCTTCACAAAATGAAGAGCAACGTTGAAGCTACCCGCCAGGCACGAAACAATAGCCCTAACCTCTTTGGTTAGTTTAGGAAAGCGTCTTGAAAATAATCAAGATATTGATTCATCACGGCGGCTTATCCCGGCGAGAATCAATGTTTTGATTCCGCAAACAGCTGGCTAATCATTATTTTGATTCTGAAATCAGCTGGTTTATCAATATATTGATTCTGCGAACTGACTTTCTGCAGACGTACTTCACTCTTCAAATTGATTTATGGAATGTTTCTTGTGTGCAAATAATGCAAATTCAATAAATTCATGAAGATATTATCAGCACAGGATCGTGTAATTTTTTTCTAGACCTTATTCCCACGGTAGACCAGGGATTTTCAGCACTCACCCTGGCTCCCTGCTCAAAGCTGCAAGCCTTCGAGGGAATGCGTGAAGGGAGCCGTGCTGACCTTTGTATAGGGGTTGTACTGAGTCGGAGCCGGAACCGAAGCCCGACCATTTTGCTCGGATCCGGAGCTGGAGCCGATTTTTTCCTCCGGAGCCGAAGCCGTCTGACATTTTCACGGCTCCACACCCCTGCTTTGTAGCATTGATTTTGAGTAAAAAAAAGTTAACTTATCGTCTTTCACGTGTTCATGATTGTGTTTCTACGCATATGTATCCCGTCCCATTTCTGTGGAGTACAGTAAGAGATATTTCGCCGAACAATATACTCAAGCCCGTTGCACAAATTGCACAATTTGAATGAATATATGATACACGGATGTATTTGCAGTCGCAAATAATACGATTTCATAACACATTTCACAACGATCCCTGCAATTGCCACACATTTGCCATCACAAAGCCCACTCGTTGATGCTCACATCCCATGCAAAGCAATACTCACTTTTAGGACACGTCTCTTATTCAATATGGCTACGTATTTGCAAAACATGCAGTTAATAATATTTGAAACTGAGACCTAACCAATAAGACATACCGTGGACAGGTAAGAAAAAACAAATAAACGTCTGGAGAATGACCTCAACGTCTCGATGTTGCCTAATTACAAAGAGCAATTTTCGGTTTCGAATCAAATACATGAAATAAATATTAACAAAATTTGTACAGATACACTCAATATAGGGTTTATGATTAGCACGGCTACCTAAAACATCAATCCTGTCAGGTTGAGCCACTTATGTCCACACCCAAAGCAGGTCGCTTTGGAACACCACAAGATCCCATATTACCACCGAAAACGGTCACCAATTGGTTTACTGATCAGCATCTTCAGAACATTCTCGACCAAAAAGCTATCAGTCCTGTCTGTGTTTTGGTTCGCTTCATTTGGGCTATGCGCACGTTTTTCTACTCCGGTTCTAGGGACGAGATAGCAGTCATCACGCGCTGCACCAGCTCGTTCTTTGACAGGTTGGTGACGCTGTCGTCATCCGGCAGGATAAACACGTGGCGCATTTCACCCTCGGCCCCGCCAGCCACATACACACTTCCTTACGTCATATTGTTTCTCGCCACGAGATCAAAGTTCAAAAGGTCGTGATGTAGGTAGTCTCGGCCCAGCCCGAGTCAGGTACTCCACCGGGCACCGGTTGGTCGGGTGCGGCCAGGTCCGCGCAACGCCGCCCTACTTCGGTCGACGCTCTGGTTGACAGGGATGGCGTTGTCATACAGTTGCCTGTCGACTGAACAGCGATTCAAGACGCCATCCTTGACCCTCTGAAGCCGATCCCCGCAACAACCAGTGTTTGATCCTTGGTTAACCTGCAGCAAACAACAGAACACAATAATTAGGACATTTGTGGACAATAAATTAGGAAACTATATGTGTTATTATTCTACTTGTTCACCAACTATTAATTTTAGAATATATTCATTAAAAAATTAAATTGTCACTTAAATTTCCACTGAACGCCACCAGGTGTGCCAACAACTGTCATTTCATGCAGTTATAAAAATTCTGCCAAAAAGTAGATGAGGCCAGTTGTACCAACAGAAAAATAGGTGACTGCTGGATTTTTTTGTCTAAAAGTTACTTCACATACAGAGCATGAACGGTACAACCCTATCCGTTTACGTGCCCATCATGTTAGCTCCATGTGAAGCAGTCTTTAGGCAAAAAATTCAAGCAGGCAGCTATTTGTGTTGATAAAACTGGCCTCTAAAATTAACTTTGGCATGGACAATCCTGAAAATTAACTATCCAGCATTCCCTGGACTGACGTAAATTAGCCACATAATTTTCTTGAAGATCACGCATAATGTAAATATAGCTTACACCATTCAGCAACTTGCTTTTGTTACACTTAAAATAAGCGTCATTAAATATGAAGCAAAAATGGGCGAAGCAATTACAAGCCAAGCATACATACCTACTACTTAGATAAGGCAAACACGAACATGCACTACGACCTTTCAATCTTAACTCGGAACAAGTCAATAACCTAGTTTCCCCTAAAAATTTAAATGCTACAAATTAAAGTTGTAGCAACAATTGGGTGAGTGAGACACAAGCAGAGGCTAAAACATCCAAATTATGAAAAATATTGGACAAGCACTGCCCCCAATTCATGAGTCCACCCAACAATTCTATCATGCGAGACAAAACATTAGGCTTCTTGTAACTAATTTATACCGTAACTTTTAAAGGACATCATATTTCACTGAAATACTACACCTAAGACATCATTTTCAAAAAAAATATAGCTTAAAAAGACATTAGAAGAGTGAGAAGGCGTCCCGCGCCGCTGACGTCGCTACCGCGCCACGTACCTAAAACCATCTCTTAAAACGAGTTTTCGGTAAGAAACGTTAAGATCACATGCCTGAAATTGAAAAACACACTTCAAAGTATCTTAAAATATGATCCATTGTTACTTACACTTCAGAAAAGGTCGCTTAAACAAAATAAAACCGGGAGCACTACGTTGCATCCAAACACCCACGACGCCGGCGCGAAATGGCGGGAACCGGAAATCGTGGCTGGATACAAAGAAAAAGAATATTTCTTACAAATGAATTATACAACTATATAACGCATTTTTTATTTTCTTTTAGACAAAATTATGAAAAAATTACAAAGGCTCGTCGTTAATGATAAACAGAGCAAGTTTTAACAGCACGTTTTTGTTGAATTATGGCGGCGAAATCTTTATGCCGTTCGTAAAGGTACGCGCGACAAACGGCTGATAGCCATGCAGCGAAAAATTTAAGCGGGGAAGTTTTTTGTATTGACTTGTCAAAAAATCTCGCCGTCATGGGGGTTATTTCCGCCGTAACGGGTCGTCTGAAGGTGGGAATGTCCCAAATTGAATCAAAATATTGATTCTATGCCCATATATGGTCAAAGCTCCGCCCACTAGAATCAATATTTTGATGCCTCCATATTTTGATTCCAGCCGCCTAGTTTGCCCAACTGAACTACGGCCGCAATAATTTAGTCGCTGTAACATTCCTTCATCAGCTGTTGGTGACGCTTCTGACGCATGTTTCCAGAGTGCTGTTCACGGGCACCTGCGGTAACTGGCTCTCTCTATCGTCTGGAGGTTTCGAAAGATGCTCTCCAGAGATGGCGCTAGTAAATTTGGCTGACATGACGTCATGCTAAAAAGTGATGGGTTTTGTGAGAGCAAATGTAATAATAGTTGAAAATTTTGTAATTTTGCTTAATTTAGAAAAATAAATATATAGTTGTTCAAAACAGCGTTTTCCTCATTCATCCTTCATTGCTTTAAGAGGAATATAGACAGTTTAAATCTTTTTTCTTGACCGCAATTCGCACACGCACTAAATTAAAAGCTGGAGTTTTGTGCGTTCGTAAATTGTGATTTGAGAAAATAAGTTGACAATAATCTTTTGCACTTTTGCTTTACAATCATTTTCAATGCAGATAAATGCATTGATTATTCGAAAATAGGCATATCTTTGAAATATTATGATTTTCCACAAGCAAATTTTCCCAAAAACTTGAACTACTTACAACTGACGAACGCATCCAATAATCTGGATGTCTTAGGATGAGTTCGTCATTTTTTTCCAAGGAAATACGATACAGTTCAAGCTACTTTACCGATTTATTAGGGTATTTTTGCCAATGAATTAATAAATAAATGACAACAATTAATCTCATTATCAACCATACTCGGAAGAATTTTCTTCGCATAAGCGCGAACACATCCGCGCTTTCATGAAAAGTCACGCCTGTAGATGTCAGGACTGCTGCTTTATGTTTCGCAAGGTGGCGCAGCGCGCAGGGTACCGACTACCGAGGCTGAGGTTTCCAGACTCTCCACCACGATTTAGCTTGGAAATGGCCGATGGGGAAGGTCTCACCCAAAAAACGGACGCCCTTTTACACAGCTGCATAAAGAGAATGAATTATTGGCATAGCTGACCACACGTCCCCTCCCCCTCTCCGCCCCAGCTCAATTGGAAATATCGCATATTTTCCTTAGTCAGTTATGTTCTGACTAATTTCTCACTCTTCCCAGTAAACCTTAACATGCATGATGCAGATGTCCACTGCGTAAGTCGTGTGCTTCCGTAAGTGTCCCAACTATATAGTGTTGCCTACACTCTACAGTGCCTACTGCTTCCCCATTGTCGTTATAATTGGTGATTCTCAGGTCAAAAGTTACACAGTGGTCTCAGAGAACAATCGTTTCAACAAATTAACGATTCAAGCCGTTGCATTCTACTTATATTCCGGTCAGTTCTGCTACTAAACGATTCCGGCAAAACACTCTTTAGGTTATGTATTAGCGAACCACCACACAAAATTCGCCCAATCAATGGTCAGTTATTACTGCTGGGCTGAACCGTCATACGCTATATAGCCTATTG